GTACCTGAGGTAAAATTTATTCATGCACTTTTTTGTAGCTTTTTTTTATTTCTTGTTTTTTTTTTTAATGCTATTTTATATTGCTAATATGGTAATCCTCGACTTCATTTTTGTATTTTTTTTTTTCGAAATCGATGCTACTGACAACTTTTTCTCCTTTATTCATCACTTTGAGCGTGTCACATTCACGTTACCCCATAGGTACTTTCATTTGAATTCTGAATTCTTCCTTCTCACCGGCAGCACTTCCATTGTTCATCACGCCAAACAAACTGCACATAGACGCGATTTCCGGTGCCCGTCCTCTTCCAATAGCTCCTAGCCAGGGATATTCATTTGTTTGTATTTCTAAAATTTCTACAGCATTTGGTACCATCCTGCAGCCTACTCCGTCCTTCTTTTTTTTTCACCTTTTCCGGGTAACTGACGCTGGCGGCATTCACTGCCTCAATAGCATCTGGGAGCGTAGTACTTCAACCAAGATACATGCAATGTGTTCAATTCTGGTGCTATTTTTTTCCAAATCCTTAAAATTTCACAGCTTCCAACTTCATTTCTGAGCCTAATTTTTGTTTCAGTACAGCTTTGAAAGCGAAAAAAAAGCAATTGCCGAATATGCAAAGAATAGGGCTGCGTTGACATCAAAGCTGGAGCTTAGACCACCAGCTGAAGTTGTGAAAAAAGTTGAAAACAATGTTGACCTTACTAAAAGGCCCCCGAATGTCGCTGCCCAAGCACATATGTACAGGTTTCATTCCTGTGGTATCCTGGAACCGAGCCGTGTTGTTGCTACTACTTCCAAGCAGGTTACTTTTTAAACTCCTTGAATTTTTACAGCAGATACACACATTCCTATGTGTTTTTTTTTTTTTTTATTAAGATTAGAAAAGAGAAAACTCAAAACTGCGGAATGAAATGTGGGAAAAATAAAATTTGTGACTGGCATGAGACATGACTGCACTTAAATTCAGCTAAGAGAGCCTTGACTTCCCGAAAAAAAGAGCGAAATTATTTTTGGAGTGTAAATTTTGATAAAAAGAAGAGAATCAGATTCGGAAAAATTAATTTTGGCGCCAAGACACCAGAGGATTGTGTGTTTTGAATTGTTTAGGACGAAAATCTAGCAAAAAGCTCCCCATGAAGTAAGGAAAGGTTCACTGCTTCATCCAGTGGGTGACTAGGAACCGCTTGAATAAGCCTGTGAGTAAGCCAGAATGTACGATGTGTTTGGTACCACTGTACACGGCTTGTTTATTTGTAGCAGCAAAGCACGAAGCCGGTGAAGCCAGCAATGAACATTTTTGAAGAATTTGAAGCAAAGCCGAATTTGTTTGATCTCCTGGAACTGCGTACCATTGATGATAAAGCTGCCCTCGAGCAAATTCTTGCCAACCCGGTGCCGCCGCCGCCACCGCCGGCACAGCCTCTCAGCGCTTCCGGAAGTAGTACCCAGTCTTTCACAACAGTGCCTGCAACTGCATCAAATACGAGTGTCGGGCTTAAGGTCAGTGTCCCATTTGTTACTTCCGTAAATTTCTTTTTTTTATTTTTGAGTAACTTTTTATGATTAACTGCGCATATTTTTATTCATAGGCAGATCCAGAACAGACTCTTGAGAGGAGGAGTGGAGCTCCTAGAAGGGGCGGTGAAAGTGAGGAAGGAGAGTCCCCTCTCAGCCTAGAACTATGCAAAAACTAGGAATAGAGTTGTAACGCTGCTGCGTAGAGTTGCCTTAGTTTACAGTTACTTTAGGCTTTAGTTTATTTTAGTTTTAGTTTTAGACCCGGGTTTTTGCAACACTGTTGCCTGTGCCACATTAGAGGGGAGAGAGGCGAAAGACCCATCAACTGGATCTGCCTATGTATTTATTGTAACAGAGAAGTCTTCTGGCAGAATTGCCGAGGTGCAGGATGTCGTTCGGACCAAAAGAAGTGAAATTAGATGGGCGAACATATTGCTGACTGGCCTTGTTGACAACCGATGGACGTCGTTTATCAACAGTTGGTGTCTGAGCAAAAAACGGATGAGCACTTGTTGCGCCACACGATCCTGAAATATTGGCATAAACGCTTACAAGATGCAGATTATTCGTAGTAACAGTGAGCATGCAGCTCAGATCGCAAAACCCCGAAAAAGCTGGCAGACCTCATTGATGAAAAGTCGAGACAATTCGAGTCTTTTCATTTTAATTTTGTTCAGGCTTTGAATATGCCGAGAGCGGACGATGTTCTCAATATGTATAATTTGCAGACAGCGCTCGAAAGCCATAGTAATAATAATTCATATGGTTTCGGTATACCTGGTGCTTCCTCTTCTCTTCAAAACCTATAGTGTTTTCTTCCTCTCATCAGCAGCTTATCTGGTCATATTCTGTAAATTGATAATTATTATTGTTGTAAATTGAATGATATACATTGTTCTGGCAGCGATTGATCTGGTTTACAAGGACAACCAGCAATCATTCAGACAGTTATTTTGTTGGCACGGCGCCGTTGGCTTATAGGATTCATCCACACATCTGCATATCCATGTGGCTTTTAGACGAGGATAGACAGTGTTAATTGGAAAAATTTCCCTTCTAGCTTTTATGTGTTATTTGCATCTATGCAAATGCAAAAAAGTGTATTACCGTAGGCTGGAACTTTGGCCTGTGTGTGTATGTGCTTCTGTACCGATTTTACATCTCGAGACCCAGAAAAGCTGCAGGGCTGAAACTTTGACTATTTAACCTACATGCATGTACGGGTCTGTGAAAGTTTTTGGCGGGTAACTTTATAACTCGTGGACCAGAAAAGCTCAAAAACTGAAATTCTGAAGGGATATGTGCCTGTATGGGTCCATTGGGTTCAGTAGTATGTCTGTATAGAGTGTGTGGATGGGATATGATCACCAGTGAGGATAAGGCGTGAAAATTATTCGTACAGTAAGAAAAAAAAGTGCGCGAAGATTGAACGACTTGTGCCTCATTCATGCAAAAACATTTGTAGGTCTTAAAAAGCACGTTAAAAAGTAAATAGTCGGATTTGAGAGTATTGAATATAGTGTAAAAACACCAAAAAAAATCTGGTATTCAGACTGGCAGAACACGAAATCTATACAAAAATATGTTTTTATAGT